GACGAAAACCTTTCATGGAATATGCACATTGAAAAAATAGCCAAGAAAATCGCATCGGGCATTGGAGCAATTAAACGTTGTAGGCCTTTTGTTAATCGAACCACGCTTGAGTCCGTTTTCAATGTCTTAGTTCAACCGTACTTTAATTACTGCAGCGAGGTCTGGGGGCATTGTAACAAGGGTCTTTCGAATAAGCTCCAAAAGTTGCAAAACCGGGCTGCCCGTATTCTGACCTTCTCCAGTTATGACACAAGCGCTGATCCTCTTTTTGTGCAACTTAACTGGAGACGGTTAGATACTCAGCGACAAATACAAGTGGCCACCATGGTCTATAAATCTATACATGGTCTTGCGCCCGACTATCTTGGTTCTCTTTTCACTAAATATGATCCTCCATATAATCTAAGGAACTCTGAAAACAAACTAGCTGTTCCATTGCCCCGCACCAATTTCCTGAAAAATAGCTTTAGCTATAACGGTGCGGTTATCTGGAATAGCTTGTCCCCTGAATTGCGGCAAGCAAAATCACTTCAATCCTTTCGAAATGGTTGTCGCAATTTCTTCGTCTGAATTGACAAAACGCACACGGCATCTATGTAAAGCAGAATTTATTTACTTTTTTCTATTACACTTTTAAATTTTAGATCATGTTTACATAGATTAAAGTAGATTGTAATTGTAATAATAGATTGTAATATTATTATTTTATCTGATAGATTTACCGTGTCTAAATAAAAAATAAAGTTCAAAGTTCAAAGGGTAAAATGATAAGGGTAAAACTGTAAGCGTAATACTCAAGATTGTCAAAGGGATTGTTTGAGCCACACAAAAGTTAGAACTACAGAACGTTTGTTCTGTGCGTACTTTGCGTGTAAATTGAAATGTGTGTTGTCATTATCTATCTTGAGTAAACTTACTCTCTAACCCATGAATGACTGTTATGGTAACCTGTACAAGAACTTTTTTCTATTTTTCACTAATTTTTGGGTAAATTTTCGATGGATTATCGAAAGTAACACGGGATTGCCTTGCTTTTTCTTCACTTCGCTTTTTTATTGGTCTAGAAAACCCGCGCAGTTGCAACGGTCACAAACAATCAGATTCAAAACTAGAACCAATCGCGACTTGACAACTTGCGTTTCCCGCGCTAATAGTTGTTTGTTTTACTTTGAGTTACCATTGACTCCGTGTTATTTCACTTTGTTCTGATTGGTCGCTTCACCAGACATTTGCACACGACGGATTGCAAGGGAAAGGACAGTCAATATGTTGATGTTGTGTTGTCCGCTCAAACATCCAATTTCCAACAGCCTCAGCCACGCTAAAACCATTCACAAAGATTCCAGTCCAAGTATCGTCATACAAGCTCTGCGAATGTTCTAAACACGAGCTTAAAAATAATCCTGAGTTTGGTGAACGCAGCACTGGCCGCAGTGCATACAGACTCACATTCCTGTATTGCATAATTGCTGCCATTTCGTTGCGTGTGCATTCCGGCGGTCGACAATAAATGCCATGAATGTGTTTGTAGTTCCAGTTACGATCTGGGCTGGGCTTGCTCGGAGAAACGTCTTTTGTAGATCTGCGAAAAAGACTTCGTTTCGTGGTGAAATTATCGCTGTAGTCAGGAACCTGGCAGTTGATTCCGCGAATGTGGATTAGTTGCCACTCATCATAAGCCGATTGAAGAACGAAAAGAGGCGTGCTTAAGAAATTGAAAGCGTGCTGGGGGAACAAACATTTCCAACGGATCGACGGTTGAAAACCTCTCGCACAATCTTCGTCAACGCCACCAACGGAGCTATGCACGTCAAACATTTGCTTAAAATGCTTGTTGATCATATTTTCACCACTCAGTGCCGCTACATCAACGAAGTAACCCGAATCGACCAGTGCACGAACATCTATCGATTTAGGAATTCGACTACGGACGTAGTCGGCGTTCATCGTTACTGCTAAACTCCCGGCGGAAGTCCCACTGAGGAGTAAGCGCTTTGCATTTCTGAATTCGCTTTGCAGTAATTGATCAATGATCACCTCTAGGATTTTTTTACCACGCATATAAATATATTGTCCGTTTACATTAACTGGGTCTGACCGATAACCAGTAAAGGAAGCTCCATCGCAATAACACAACAAAACTACATTCCAATCGTAGAAATCCGGGTTGGTTTTATCGTTGTCGGAGAGGATTCCCTGCAGTGTTGGAGGATGAGGTGGGAAGAAATTGCTTGATCCCAAACGTGTTTTACTGCGTTGAAGACAGGACTCCTCGTCAAAACACCACGCTCCACCAAAGAAGTGAATAATCCAGTTACTAGCCCCCGCGCCACGTCCTTGTCTGAAGTAATATCCGGGGGGTGATCCGTCCAAGCAGACTGCACCTTGTTTGACAGCGAAAGGCAACATTACTAGCTCGACGTTCTTAGCATACGATCGTCGTTCCTGTTCATGTTTATTAGTCTGGGTCGCAGCGGTATTCGGGATGTAGATGTTAACAAACGCGGTGTTTCGTAATAGGAACGAAATTATCAAAACTGTAACCAAACAGCTAAGACCACTTGAGATAAAAACAGTCCGAAAATGTCCATAGGTTGAAGAATTGTGACTTGTTTGTTGTCTGAGAACGTAACCATCATTATCAACGGTAGACATACTTTGTGTTTTTAATCCGTGATCTATCGCATGGTGGAAGAAGTTTTGCGCACAAATTTAAAACCAAAACAACTCCTCATTCTTTCGTAAAGAATTTCCTCTCATCCCATCACGCCGATCAGCCAGGCCAGAATTTTCCTATTTCATTTTCACTTCGATCTATTGAACCGTTCTAAGGCGTTTAAAATGAAAAATGAAAGAAAATTAATTCCTCTTGCCTCGAAACGTCTGAGCAAACAATGGCAGCAGGTTGTGCAGGTGACAACTTCACTTCGTTAATCGCTGGCTACAATTCCCAACAGTCTTCAGTAACACTGCAGTGAACAGATGAAAAATTATGCTCAGTCGCTTTCCTCTAAAGAAATTTTTATACCCATCTTAGATTCAGACTTCAATTAATTTGAAAACAATGGTGACATCAGCTAGATTGTAAGTAGAAGTTTGTAGGGGGTACCTCCCTTTTTCCCCTTAATTTCCCCCTTATTTAGTTTGTTGAAAATTCACATCAGTTGAGGGGGAGTCTAATACCTTCAGCAGAACTCCGCTAACTCCAACTCCTATGGGAAACCAAAAATGGTTGGAGTTAGCGGGGACTCGAGTTATCGGGATTGGTGTTTAATTTTGATTAACCTGTTAATCATTTGGGAAGTCTAGCGAAATGTATTACGGTTTTATTAATGTTATCACGTTCGCATCAATCGCGATTAGAGATTGGGGCATGTCAATAAAATATGTTCTGACACTTTGACGTTTATCGACCAAGGTATTTGGTGAAAGTTCGAGTTATCAGAGTAACTTTGAGCCAAGGGAAAGTAAAATGAGTTAAAGTTAACGTGAAGTTTGTGTCAGCCGAGTTTGAATTAGCTGCTTTAACTGACTGACTGATAAAACAGGGTCAAATCCAGGGGGAAATCGGATCTTGTTCGAGTTAGCAGGGGTTGAGTGAACCGAAATCGAGTTAGCGGGGCACTACTGTGAAGGTTTGACTGGAAAGTACAACACCAAGAACTACGAGTACGACAAAAGCATCAAGAACAGTCGGGGATTGAGGAGACTGACACAGATTACGCAAATACGTACAAACGATGACTTAGTTAATTACTCTAACAACAGGTGCGCTTTTTAGTGTTACCACCACTGGAAGTTCGTTTTTCTTCGAATCGGCCCCACCCCCACCCCCCTGCGATATATAATGACAGCCTACATGGTGCCACTACTCCTAGATTCTCTCATAGTGCAATAACAAAATTGACTTTTAGGACTTTGTAAGCGAATTGATATAATTTACTTCAAAAAGCTTTTAATGATCATAATAACGTTAAAAACTACAAAGATAAATAAGAAATACCAGAGGAATTCTGTCACGGACTTAGCACGTGCTCCTTCCAAGAAATCAACTTGCGTCATGGATTCAAGTTTTCCTTGGAAAGTAAATTGCATCATGTTTTCCACCGAAACCCAACTTGGTAGATGGAAAGAATTCAATCAAAAAAGGCTTGCATCGCATGCAGAGGTTTTCCTGTGCGCTTGATTTTATTTAACTTATAGAAAAGGAAATTATTGTAGGCTTTGCTATATCAGAGTTGCTCAGAACGTTTGGAACACTATTTACAATTCTGCATTTTGTGCGTAAAACAATTTTATTTTCGATTTGACATTTCTAGATCCCATCCCTTTCAGACAAAACGTGATTTCACCAATAACAAATACAATGCACCATTATTCTAAGTTACAGTAAAACTTGCACAAAGCGGACACTTGTGACTCACTGGCGGGGCTAACTTGCGAGGCTCACTCGCGAGAATGTGGCTTATGTTCGCTCAGTACCACGCGGTGTCCGCGAAAGACAGGTTGACTAATTAATACGAAGATTTACTACTAGACAACACACTGAAAACAGTGATACGACGATTTACTACTAGACAACACAGTGAAAAGAGTGAAGAACAATTTCTCGAGTCTGACCAATTCGAGTAGATACATTAGACCTAAATGCCGAAACTAATCGCCTCAGAAGAAAAAATCAATTGTTATACAAATATCTTTTTTATACCAAATCGCGATCGCATAAAATTGAGTCACAAATGTCTCGTGACACTGATCGTAGCGAATTTGATCGCAGCGAAAATCGCCGACATTTCATATACCAGATATCGGCGATTTTACACGCCGATCCAAGCGATCAGCGAAAATCGCAGCGTTGGACAAACCTGGCTACTTAAAACACGATCGGCGAATAAAATCGACCAGCGTGTCGCTTGATATGAGGTCCGCTTAGCACAGGTTTCACTCTATCTCAGTGTGGCGACTTAATCCATTAAGCTTCATACTTTCATGAGCTGTTCATGTGTTAGTCGTGCCATGAAGATCACCAGTATCATTAGAGAGAAGGGACGATCGAGCCTTTTAGGTTTTTCTTCCCTTTTCTCTTGGTTTCCTTTACACAGCCGGTTTCTTAGGCTCTGATTATACCCAATTCCACCCCCACTCCCCCAACACACACACACACACACACACTGAAGTGTTTGTTGTGCCTAGTAATCCCGCATCGTATTAAACATGTGTACGAACTGTTGTGAGAAGAAAAGTTTTCAAATGGTAATAAAATATTGGAAAAAGGTATTCGTCCTGGCTAAACCCCTGTCCCCTCCGGTTTTCTGAAGGGTAAGCTAAAGCAAAAAAAAATCAGCCCAACACGTATTAAAAATCGTAAATTAAATTGTAACTGGATCGCAAGAGCAGGAGCACTTCCCGGATCTAACGTGGAGATGACACTGATGTACTTTTAAACAGCTTGTAAGAGAACAAACATTTAACAGCTGTAAATGAGACCACAATGTTTTACAATGTGGTCAATATCCAATTTAAAATAGAGCTTTACCCACGTCATCACACTATTTTCTTTCTCGTTGAAGAAGTTTTCCTCGGCGCAGCGGAAGCTTGGGGATTACTTGGTCGAACAGGTTCAAGATGTCCTTGAGAGCGTGGTTTCCCCCTATTTGGGCGAATTTCTCGCTCTGGTAAATAAGGTGTTGGTGGGTTTCTACGTGGGTTAGAAGACAATGATTGAGCTGACGAGCTAGTAACACTAAATGAAGTCTGATCAAGTGGTGGGAGTGGTCCGGTAGGCTTAGATCTACTGCTGCGGGAGCCTGCTACTCGCATCAAAGACGCACTTGAGTCAGTATGTCGCGGTTTACTCCGTGTTTCTTCGGATCTGTGGTTTTGAATACCCACTTTGTGCTCAAAATATCTCGTGTTCCTTTCAGTAGAATGATGATCCGTTCCAGTTTGGCGGGATTTCTGAAAATTTTAAATAAGGGTATCACAATATGTCACACACAACTGGGTGTAAAGGTAAAAATATTGCGGCCATCCGAAAAAAATATAATTATAAACCTTAAAACAAAATGATTTGGGGAAAAAAAAAACACAAATCATCTATTCAGCAGTTCCTCTCCAACGCCACGAAATGTCTTAAGGCAGCGGATAAAAAAAAAATCGGAGTCTGGAAATATTTCCGGTCACTTTTTAATCATAGTATGATAAAACTAGAAGCAAAAGAAAACGCGATTTTCCTTTTTCGTCAATAAATGATGTTAATCAAGAACAGATGGGTTCCCTTGCCTGTTTAACAAAGACTCTCGTATTATTCTGCTCGGAAAAAATAAGACAATGTTAGGTAGTTCAAGTTCATTTACAACTGATTCATTTCAAGGAGAATGAATCTATGAGACTCAGAATCCCTCATTCGGATACAGGTCTTATTCTAAATAAATCCCTCTTGAGTTCTTGGGGACGTTAAGCAAACCAAGACGGCCTCAGTAACGAGAACGTGGTGAAATACAATATTTAATTGGCAGAAACAAAAGCTCTTACCATACTTTGTTTTGGTACATTTCATAGCTGTCCAATACAACACAATAACGCGAAATCGTCAAAACTGAGATTCAGAACTCAAGGACAAATTAGTTAGGTTTCTATTTGGCACTGAACGCCTTCGTCTCAAGTTCTGCTGAAGTCGAGGTCTGGCGCCGCAAGAGACCGTTAGCACGTCTAGCAATTCACAAAATTCTTGAGAATTAAATAAATCTATTCTCATTCAACGCTTTTCTTGGCATTACGCTCCAGACTTTCTTTGACCCCTTAGAGTGACCAGCATCTAATTTCTCCTTGCAATGTCACCCCTGAATCACACATTAAGGTCAGGAGAATAGAGGAAATGATCAGCGTAAGAGTGACCAGCATCTAATTTCTCCTTACAATATCACCCCTGAATCACACATTAAGGTCATGAGAATTAAGGAAATGATCACCAACTGAAGAAGCTATTGATCGTTAAACAAATTCTCCTCGTCAGCACCTTAGGAAATATGCATAATGATCTTGGGATGTAAAGGGTTAAAGTCAGTTATATTGAGGTATTAACATCGCGTTTTGGTTGAAAACTTAGGGGTGAGTCAATAAACACTGCATATGCTGTCCATGTGAGCACAGTCCGCTATTCTGAAAAATGGAAACAGTTATTCTGCTCTAGGTTAACTTATACTTACCACGTAAGCCGTGCTTTCACTCTGCCGAATATGAGAAGGTTTTGTCACTTCTGTCGTCAAACTACTCCTGGACTCTGAACTTGTTTTTCCCTGATAAAGGCCATCCTCTTGCGATCTCGCTGTAAATGTCTTGTGGAATGTGCTTGCATCGCCTCTCGACTCAGGCTGTCTTTTTGGTTCCTTGCCGTGAGCCGTTCGATTTTTGACATGATGCACTGAGTCTCTTACAGGTTTGTTAGTAACCAAGTCGTTGTTTCTTACCACCGGCTGTCCGAGTATGGGACGAGGTTCACCTGTCTTGCGTTCTGGTCTTTTGAGTGCATTATTCATTGGAACGTTGTCTGGTTCTCTTGGCCGATCATCATATTTCTCAGACTTATGCCTAACATCTCTTCTTGGTACACTGTTATCATCCGGCCTAAAATTCACCTTAGCGCTGAAGTTTTCAGGCGTTACCTCTCTACTGTCGAGATCGCCTGGAATGAAATCGTCCCAGGACTTTGAGCTTCTTCTCTTCGATTCGTACACCGGTCTACTGGGGCGACTTTTGGAGCCAATTCTTGCTATTGGCCTTGTTTTGCTCGGAAGAGGTCCAGGTGTCAAGCCATCGAATAGCGCTGAAGGCGAGTTGTTGAGAGGAGGTACTGTCGAAGAAGGACGGCTCTCTGGACTTGCGTCACATACAGCCTGGGAAAGTTAAATTTGTGGCCAATTACAAAAGTGCAATTTTCAATTAGAGCGGATGGGCTTTACCGCGCCAGGGCTCGACACTAACGGTAGCCAACTAGCCACCGACTAGTAGAAATTCAGTTTTCGCTGATGGTTTTCGATTTCCACTACCCAGTTTGGCTAGTAAACAAACTGAAATTGTCGTGACATCTAAGTTGTCACTAGCCACGTGGATAGTAAGTTGAAAAGTTAGTTTCGAGCCCGGCGCGTTCTACGATTCGTCAAAGATTTCATTTCGATTATGTGTCACATAACCAAAACTGTGGTGATCGTCACAGCCAATCAGAAGAATAGAAAGCTATTAACAGCAGCCACTACATGAAAACTAAGACTAGAGGCAACTAGAATGCCCAGGTCTCGATTGGTTTTAATTTGAAATTTTATTGGTGAAGAAGGTGGCGCGACTTGTCTCGACCAGTAAGAGACCAAAACAAATCAAACCCAGTGCAGTCCAGGATAATTCTCCAGACCCAATTGATTTTTTTTTTAACTGGTTCTAAAAACGTGTGCAACTCTCTCGTCTAACCACATACAACATTTAAGTACTCGCAGCTGGTTCACCTTCTGGTCGTCTGCTATGGCGATCAACCTTCCTTAGCTGTTTGGTTGGCTGGGGTGCTTTGGTTTGGTTTTTTGTTTAGTTTGCTTTATGACCTTGATCATCTTTTAACCGGTATCAACTCGAGTTAAAACACTTGCACATGCATTGGTGGCAATCGCTGTCTATTTTGCTGGCTTGTTCTGGCTTGTTCAAGAAGGGTGCAGGCTCCACATACACGCGTGAGAGGAGCCTGGAGTTGGTATCAATCTAAGGATAATTCCTTTTCCGAGTTCAGTGGCTCACAGTCACTTTGAACAGTTTTCATATTATGTTTGCAACGGCCTTTGAGATAACTATGGTTCAGGTTTAACGACAATAAATCGTAGAGCGCTCTTAAAGTATCACTTAAGTTATACTTAGTGAAATTTCATTCAAATCAGACAGCATTCTGCATGACAGATACCATATTTAGGACTCACCTGATGTAAAATGAGGTTATCAAAGGGAAACAACTCTTGGCAGAACTCACAAGGCAAAAATGTTTCATCTTCTGTCAAGGACAAGAGAGTGATATGACTTGTCAGTTAGGCAAGTAGAGCAATTTTCAATCGAGTGTCGAAAGTAATCCGGATTTGTTCTTTGCTCTGTGACTGGTCCTGAAAACCCGCGCCATCCTCTCAACCAATCAGATGCAAAAATAAAAACAAACGCGACTTGATCGCCCGCGTTTTTTGCGCGCTTCAATCTTTTCACTTTGAGTTTTCATTGGCTGATGATGATGTAAAACCTTTGTTCTGATCGGTCGCTGAGATTATTTTGGTTTTGGTTTTTTCGTCACTCAACTGACAGCTGCTCTAACAATGAACTCATGTAAAAAAGAATCACATACCTGCACGTTTCCTTCCATTCTTGTCAAGCTCTGCGCGGTTGTTTTGTGATTGCCTCTCCTAAACCACAAGAAAATCACCACAGTTATGTAATTCTAAGAAAAATATTGTAAGCAAGTGAAGGTTTATTGGCCTTCTAACAGTTTGAAAGATACCTTCCTGACTAACTAAATAAAAAAAATTACTTTTCATAATTCTTTTAAATAATTATTGCAGGTGGAATGCAATTTTAGCAACTGAAGAAAACAAGCCTGATAAATTCAGGCTTCAACGGGATTCAAACCTATGTCCCTCTAATAGAAGTTGAGCCTTACTACCAACTGAGATACAAAGCCATCTGTTGGGAGCAAGGGTAATATTTGATGGTTCTTCTTTCCCGTGGAGGAACTTGATAACAGCAAGAGAGTCAAGTTTAAATCATGAACTATGTAGCTCTTGTTGCTTAAGTCTTTCCCAGTTTCAGTGGCATTAAACATCTGGGTTACTCCCCCCGTAATGAAATGTTAGCCAGATGCTGGTAAGCCTTGTCAGCAGTTTGTCAGACTTCCCTGACCATTCACTCATTACCACTAGCTTGGGTGGAGAAGAAAGGCAATGTGAGAGTTAAGTGTCTTGGCCAAGAATACAACACAATGACCAGCCAGGGCTGCCCACACCTCTCAACCTGTACTTACCACAGGACCACCAATTCTCTCAACTGCACAGGAATACAAAAAAAAGTAACTCTTTACTCAGCTTGACTCCTCAAGTACAAACAAGCTGATCTTAATTAACGTCATATTATAACATAGCTAGCAGAGCCACGCAATCAAATTCAGTATAAGTGAGCGTGCTCAAAATCCCCATAGTGCACGCTGATAGCGTCAGCAAATCGCTTCGCCAGAAATTTTTTTTACGCGAGAGCGGCCATTGTTAGCGCGGAGAAAAATAACATATTTCGCGACAATAATGGATACAAACAGAGACTCGGCCAACCAGTCCCAAAACGAAGACAATTTTCCGATCTTTTCCCTTTGAAAATTTGAAATAAAACCAATTTCTATTTTGCTTAATATTTCGCTTACCGGGAACAATCACTTTTGATATTGTTGTCCGTTTTTCGCGTCGGATTTAAGGCACAATTCCGCTATGTGATAAAACAATTGGTTCATGTTCAAGAAGCTAGAGTTACCCTCGGCTATTGCCTCGGGCAACTCTTACGCTTCTTTCGTGCTCTCCAAACTTCCCACGTGATCCATAACTCGATTGTGCACGCTAAAGCATGAACCAATTGTTAATTAAAAGATTTTCATCTCCGTCATCCAACTTACAAAGAAATTTCTTCTCTCCACCCCAGAATACATGGAGTCATCATGTTGCGGCAGGTTATGCCTGTTCCTCCGGTTGCCGCCAAAATGTGGAGCCACGCCTGCTACTGAATCCAAGGATCTCAGCTGACAACCACTCTATAAACCACAACAAATAAATACCTTTACACCATAACATCAGTATGCATATTCTTCATACTGTTCTCTATAAATTTCCTAAGGTGCTGACAAGGGGAGAGTTTGTTTCACAATCAAGAGCTTCATTAGTTGGTGATCATTTCCTTTATTCTTGTCACCTTCATGTGTGATTCAGGGGCAACTTTGCAAGTAAAAATTAGATGCTAATCACTCTTAGGGATCAAAAGGACATTCATTTTGATTCCCAAAAAATGCATATCATTGGCCAGCTGGCAAAGAAAAAGTTGAACTTATTTTATCAGTAATATGTAATTAACATGTGTTTATTAATTTTCGGAGTGTTTTTTTAAATTTCTGGAGTGAAAAAATTCAACGATTAATTGTCATAGGGTCCCAAAATTAAGATTATTAATTGCAAAGGACTTCATATGCGATTATTAGTCGCAAAAAGTGTTTTATTGTGATTAATAATCATGGAAAGTACGGTTATTAATCACGATTAAATCATTAATAGTCATGTTTGACAAGCTTTTAGACTTAATAATCGCGCATCGTTCGGTTAATAACCGCATCTGACAACAAATGTTCTTATTCATCGTTATTCATCTACTCCTCTCCAAAGAAAGTTCAAGCCGAACTTTTGTAGACGGCCACCATTATGACCAAAAATTCAAAATTTAGTATTTCTTCACACATGGCTTTTTAATAATTATCCTTTATTTTCAGGTTCATGGTGCAAGGAGAAAATAAAGTCTCCCGCTGAAATTAGTCGGAGGAGTGGCGGAGGAGAGCTTTGAGGAAGATGTCTTATCCTGTGTTACTTACACGAAGATGTTACCATTGTACATCTTGTCTTTCCAACATGACGTTGTTTACCACCCCATAAGATGTGGGAACTTTGCACATGTGTAGGTCGTGAAGTGTTCTGTTGTAAACTTATGTATTGAGGGTCCCAATATTGGCGACGAGGATTTTTCGGGAGTATTAAGGAGAGAAAAGCGAGCATTATGCCTGCAGAAGAAGCAGAGCAAGGCCAAGAAGCGGCACAAGCCATTCGTGTCGTCACAGAGACGAAAAACCTTCGAATACAGCCATTCGTCGTTCCGGACGGAACAAATCACGTTGGCAAGGCGTGGGAAGAATGGCCAGAAGGAATGGAGCGAGAATTCCGATACTTTCGAATTACAGAAGCCGTCGACAATAAAGATGCCATAATTATTTACGGAGGGAAGGAGATAGCCCGACTAGAGAGAGAAAAGCCTACCGGACCCAGAAATGGAAGACGTTTACTTGAAGCTGCGTACGAAGTTGAACGACTGTAAGTAAGTAAGTAACTTTATTTAACCACATATCGCATATGAGCGATAGCTCGTTTAAATGCAAATGTTGCCCTCTGAACATCCACCCATCCCACCCCAGGGGAGGACATCCATCACACAGTAATCTCGTGCGTGGGAAATTCACGTCTCCTACCCCAAACCCTGCAGGAGACGGGGCTTACGGTTTATTCGTCCTTATCTGAGAAGACTAGAATATCTATCCATTTCTTGATATTATAGAAAGGCAGCAAATTCTCCTCAGTTATTTTAAGACCCTGACTGTTGGTCCGGCCGGGGCTTGAACCCTCGACCTCCCGCACAACAGTCCGGCGCTCTACCAATTGAGCTAACCAGGAGGCGGTATAGCTGACCAGGAGGTATTTATTTTCGAAAATGAGGCCACATGTTGGCGAAACCACATGTACATACGCGGCGAGATTGCGAGAGAAAGCCAAGGAATGCGAATTTGGAGCCACATTTGACAAGAGAATCTTGGAGCACATCGACAACAAGAAGTTGATTGAAAAAGCTATCAGCAAAACGTGGGACCTGACGCGATTCCTGACCGAAGCAAGTCAGACGGAGGATATCGCAAAGCAAATGAGAGACAAGGGGAGTGGACAGAGGAATGCTGACGATATTTCCCGTGTTTATGCTGAACAGAGAAAACTCAAGCAAGAGCATGGCGAGGGACTCGATCGGACTCCGCGACCTGGCAAGAAACATAAATGTCAATTCTGCGGAATGACTGGAGTCCATGAGAAAGGAAAAGATTGCCCTGCAATCGGAAAGAAATGCCACAAGTGCCATAAATGGAATCACTTTTCCTCTGTGTGCAAATCTGGGGATACGCGTAACTACATGGCCAGAAAACAGAAGCCAGGCAGAGCGGGGAAAAGAAGAATTAAGAAGTTAACCACTGACAATGTTGAAGCCACAAGCCGGGATGACGAATTTTTTAGTCAGGCAGCAGAACACCTGGCACGAGCCGTGAAAATTAGACAGATTGGTAAGGATGGCGGTAATTATCGAACAGTTGTAGTAAGATTGAATGATGTTGATATGGTAATGGAGACTGATAACGGTGCTGATGTTAACATCATGGACAAACACCAATTCAAGGCATTCATCCATAGAAAGAATGATAAGCCTGCCCTAACAGACAGTAATGTCAAGCTGCGGACTGTTCAACACATACAGCCACTTATTTCAAGGTATTGGTAAGATGGAAGACATGAAGAATGGCAGCGAAATCCTAGGTCGATTCCATATGAAACCTGAAGCAGTTCCAGTTGCACAGAAACCTAGACAGGTACCATATTTTCTTCAAGAACCACTAAAGAAATGGTTGGAGCAAGGCGTAAATGAACATATCTTTACCAATTTGGCAAGGGTGGTCTCAAACCGACACCAGAGAAAGTACAAGCCATCCATGAGTGCCTAGCCCCCGCATCAAAGGCAGAAGTAAGAAGTTTCTTCGGCATGACTGGGTGTCTCTCCAAGTTTATACCCCCGGTATGCTTTGCTCATGAAACCATTGAGAGAGTTGACACATAAGGACACTAAGTTCCACTGGGGACCTGAAGAGGACAATGCTTTTGAAGAATTGAAGGCTAACATCTCTAACAAATACACAATGGCATTCTTTAACCCAAAGTTGCCAATCATGGTGAGAGTCGAGGCTAGTTAAAATGAGGGACTATCGGGCGGCCTTTTCCAACAATCCACCAGGGGCTGGCAACCAGTGCATTTCATAAGCCGCAGACTGACTGATGTGGAAAGAAGGTACAGTCAAACAGAGTAGGATGCATTATGTGTGAAATGGGCTAAAGATCGATTTTCTATCTACCTACTTTAGGCACCTAGGTTCACGATTGTAACAGCACATAAACCACTCCCACCACTGTTCAATAAACCTACTGCAGAGCTTCCACCCCGCAGAGAGAAATGGGTCTTGGACATGCAAGATGTGGACTTTGAAATGAAATAAGAGCCTGGAAGAGAGGAAGCTGACCCTCTACCAATCATTGGTAACAACAGCACTGAGAAGATTCTGAAGGCAACTATAGAAACAGAGCATGCAGTTGTGCATGCTCTGTTAAAAGAGGAAACGTGTCGAGATACTGCACTGCGGAAGCTGAGCACTACCATCAAGAAATGGAACTGGGAAACAAGCAAGAAGGATGTTGATCTAGCTCTATTCTATCTAATCAAGGATGAGCTATATGAAGCACAAGGCCTGATATTTAGGATGGAAAGAATTGTTCTACCAACAAAATTATAGCAGAAAATCAAAACAGCTCACGAGTTAGGACATCTTGGTATAATGAGGATGAAACAAATGCTCAGAGCCAAATACTGGTTTCCCGGTGGGAATGGTATGATTAACCCAATGGTGGGACATTGCTATGATTGTCAAGTCACCACACAAGACCGCAGACAGGAGCCTATCAGACCATCAGCGATCCCGAAAGAACCATGGGAAGAAATTTCAGTTGATTTTGGAGGACCCTGTATGGATGGTCACTACAATTTGGTAGTTCTGGATCAGAGAACCCGATACCCGAGGTGGAAGTAGTGTTCTCAACGGCGATAAAACCAACCAAGGAAAAATTAAAGAAAATGGCCGTTTTCACACTAGAGACGGATTATCCGTCTTAGTGTGAAAGCGGGACGGTGTTCATTTTGGACGGATAATCCGTCCGATCATCCGTCTACATAGACGGATTTTGAAGACGAATTATCCGTCAAAGACGGATATAGTCCTCTCATTTTGCCCTGAAAAGCCTGGAACTAGAAAGAACGCACTAAGTTCTGGGAAGGAAAACAGGGCGTCTAAAGTGGCGAAAAGGAAAGCAGGAAAGAAACTAAAAAAGAACACGTGGAATGAAGTCTTCCTTTTTGCCACCGTTTTGTCTTCTTTGGAAGACAGAGACAAACCCTGGACATTTATTCTAGAAACCTTAGCCCTGAAGAAGACTGCAAACGAACGTATTTTTATTAAGATACTGGAGGAGTTTGATGATGTATTGGCGAAAGTAGGTAAAGAGAAACACGAGAACTACCGGTTTACTGTGGGACAACTTAGAGCAAAGTACAAGTGGTTAAAAAAGGAATGGAGGAGCATAGACACGCTGCCATATTGTGGAATTGTAACCGCGCCTAAGAAAAAACCCGCGCTCTATCCGTCTAATGTGAATTCAAGACGAAGATATTCAACAGTTGATCTGTCTCGAATTCAGACCAAGACGGAAAATGGAGCAGACGGATTATCCATCTCTAGTGTGAAAATGGCCAATCTTCACTCATCATGGCATACCAAAACAAATACAATCCGACAATGGTCCGCTATTTAATTCAAAAGACTTTGCGACCTTTGCAGAAGAAGAAGGATTTCAACATCAGAGTGACACCTCTGCATCCCACAGCTAATGGACAAGTTGAGTGCTTGATGCAGATTCTTAATAAAACAGAACAAATTGCCCATCTTCAAGGGAGGACTGGACTTGACAGAAACATGGCTGTCCATGACGTGTTAGTGGCTTACAGGGACACATCACACCCAGCTATTGGCGTAACCCTTTATTAAGCTATGTCTAAAAGGCCAATCCGGACAAAATTGAGCCATACAACACTTAAAGAAAGGAGTGAGCAAGATGATGACTTGATCGATGAGAAAGACAAGCTCTACAAGGAGAAGATGAGACACGGTGGTACAAATACCAGGGAGTACACCTTTATCGTGGATGACTATGTCCTGTTGAAACAGAAGGTCAACAAAATGGTCAACTGCATATGAACCTATCTCCTATACAATTATCAGAATTAGTGGATCTACAATCACGACAAGGCGAGTTACAGATGGTCGAAAAATTTGCAGAGATTCGAGCCATTTTAAATTGGTCAATGCCCTTATGCATGAAGAAGGTGGAAAAGGAGAACATTGTGAAGACTGGAGGGAGACTCTACTTAT